AAAAATCAGTTGATAGTTTATATTTGGTTTGAGGGTCAACTTTTGAATTTGCCTGAGCTTGTCTAGAATTTACGAGTTCTATTTATAAAAATCTGGGCCTGAAACCAGGGCCACTTGTATTTAAATACTCTTGCTATTCTGTGCACAGCTCAAATTTCTGATATTTTCTCTTTTAAGTATTCCTCACCTTCCCTTCCACCAAATTAATAAATAAATAAATAAAATCAGTGAATTAGTCGGTTGCTATAGGCATTATGTCTATAAGGTTCAACAAAGCAGAAGAAATGCACATTTACATATCTCAAAAACAATTATTTAATAAACAGATTATATATTAAAATCTAAATTAAGGATTTTAAAATAGGGTTTTTTCATGAATTCTTGAGCTTTTCTCATTGGTTTCATAGTACATAATATATAGTAGCTAAACTGTTTATGTCTGATAATATTGACAGACTGATAATTTTTAATGGCACCAAACTCAGATGAACATCAATTTCCAGATATTCCTCAAATATTCAAAGTACAATTATCACAGCTTATGTATTTTTTTCATCTCACTGCTACATTTAGCTTCCTGTTGCCTTGAATGTTTGTTTATTCATCTTTTACTCAAGAAATCTTATTGCAGGATAAAATTGTCAAGTAAGGAAGCTGATAAATAAGAAAACTAATCTGTGTATCAAAGAGCATAAAATTATTAATTTGCTTAAAGGAAGTGTTTTTCTTATGATTTTCTATGAAAAAGTGAGCTTCCAGTTAGAAACTAAAATCTATTTCAACACATTAGTATATAATGCTAATAACTGTACCTAAATAATTAATATTTGATTTATATGTATCTATTCTCCATTTATTTTAGGTGTGGAAATTAAAACAACATAAATATTTTGACTGAGGGCTTTGATCAAACAGATGCTAAAAAGGTATATTTGTAATATTTATAAACTATCTAAACATTGTTATTAGAGAATTTAAGCCATTTTCCTTTCTTTAGCCAGGGATTTCTTATGCTAGTCAAAGTAACAAGGAGCAGTTCTCTCTATTAGATCATAAAAAAAGGCCATGTCACAATTATTTCTGTTGCTAAATATTTAGCCACTCCTTTCTGTTCTTTCCTGAGAGCCTCAGTTCTTCTGCGTTTTTCTCCAGTCTTGGAGATACCAAGATACATTATTTTCACTAATTTTTCTGGGACCTAGGCCAAATACATGTAATTTTATATTTACCTAGCAATCAGAAAGTAGGTCTGTCACATGAGTTCTACAGCTGAAAATAAATCCTAGAATGTCCTTAACCAGAATAATCTTAAGAAAGGCCATTCTTTTCAAATGAAGAGTGTAGCTCCAGGAATAAACTCCTAAAAAAAAAAAAATGAGGGAAATAAAGAAGGAAATACTAGCTTTTCCTGATAAGTCTTGTAACTTTGGCAGCTAGTGAGTATCTTGACAGTCTGGTCACACTTGTGCCCACTAACTTATCTATATACAACTTTCAGTTATTATTTTTCTTTGGAACAAATATGTTCCTACTGTTTTATCCAGAGATTCCTAATTGCTTGCTTACTTTTTCCTAGTAAGAAATAATTATGTTTTGATATTTGCAAAGTTTTTAGAAGAATTCACTGTGTAATCTTCTGTTTTGTTTGATTAAGTATGAGTTCATTTAAAAATTTTTTTTAATTGTTGATAGAACTTTATTTTTATTTATTTATGTGTGGTGCTGAGACTCAAACCCAGTGCTTCACACATGCTAGGCAAGTGCTCTACCACTGAGCTATAACCTCAGCCCATGAGTTCATTTTTTATAAACCTGGAATTCAATACATACTTTGATACATGATTAAACTTTTGTTTTCCTTTTTAACCATTTCTGGTTAAAATTAAGTACTTTATTTGAATAAAGTGGAAAGGTTAATAAATTACACCTGGAAGCCCAAAAGATACATTTTGAAATACATCCACATTTCTAAGATGCTTCTGTGCAAATCCTTTACCCTGTCCTAAATAGAGTTCTTATTTAGTGTTGTTTTGGAGACTGGTTAATGGAGAGTTCTTAGGAAGTCCAGAGAAAGCAAAAATATCCCCCAAAATCATGAGATAGTACGCCATAGTGGCTTGAATGGATCTATCTGGTCTATGAGATTGCCTATCTTATATACAAAGTAGTAAACAAGTATCTTATTGCCATTAACTACTTTGTAATCAGGTGATTTTACATGTTCTAATACAGAATTCTCTGCTGGAGAGTAAGACCTCTTTTATCAGTCAATAAATCAAGGAATCATCTATGAGAATAAGGGACCAAAAATAGTAAAAAGACCCTTAACTCAAAGTTTTAATCAGTCTTATAGTAATACTTAATTCACTCAATATGAGTTTTTGTTAGCTTTTTTGCAGCTGTGGCCAAATGACCTGCAAGAATAACATAGAGACAGAAAGGTTTTTTTGGTTCTCAGGGTTTTAGAGATGGCCATCTCTATTGCTGTGGGCCCAGAAGGACGTGGCAGAGGAAAACAGCTCAGAATATGGCAACAAGGAATCGGAAAGCTCTGCTCACCAAAGGCATGCCCCCATGACCTACCTCCTCCAGCCATGCCCTGCCTGCCTCCAATTAACACCCAGTTAATGCAGTCAAGTGGATTAATGCACTGATTCAGTTAAGGTTCATAACCCAGTCATTTTACCCTTAGACTTTCTTGCATTATCTCATACATGAGCTTTTGGGAGTCACCTCAGTCTAAACCATAACAATATATTGTCACCAAATTTTGATACAGTAAGGTCATCAGACAAAGCAGAATGTCATTTCACATTATTTATCCATGTTAGCCAAGGGGGAATTCTTACAATATACTAATTTGTTTTGATTTCAAACACATTTCATTGAAAGTTATAAAAAAAGAAAACTATAGAGAAAGAATGGTCAAAAAGTTTTTATATTGTTAAAACCAGTAATCATGCAGCACTAGTCACAGTCACAATAGCTTGTACAAATTGCTTAAACTTGAAATGTAATAAGAATTTAAATTAAATAGTATAAAGAATAAGTTCTTGATTTAGACAGCTGACTTGTGGGTATTCAGTCATTATTTGAACTTAATATTAGTAAAGCATTAAGATTGAAATATGAATTATATTCCATGTCACCACAGTTTATCATAATTGAAATGTTCCCCAGTTATCACTTGTGATATTATATACTTAAGTTTCAACAACAAAATTAACATTCAGGCACAGGGGGATAGATTTTGGTGTATAGAAGTATCACTGAAGATAACTTTAAATTAAGACCATAATTTATATATATTCTCCTGCTTAAGATGAAAATTTCCTTATAGGAACTTGGAATTTGGAAGTGACTCTATGCACTGTACATGGATTTTTTTAAATTTTTATTCTTTTTAGATATTCATGACAGTAGAGTACATTTTTACACATTATACATACATAGAGTATAACTTATTCTAATTAGGATGCCATTCTTACGATTGTACATAATGTGGAGTGTCACTGGTGGCGTATTCATATATGAACATAGGAATGGTATGTCTGATTCATTCTGTCTTTCCTATTCCCATCCCTCCTTCCTTCCCATCATTCCCCTTTGTCTAATCCACTGAACTTCTATTCTTCCTTCCCCCTATTTAACTGTGTGTTAGCCTCTGCTTATCAGAGAATGTACATGGATTTTTAAGTTTTAAACCATGTATAAATGTATGTGCACATGAACATGCACACATTTACATGGGCAACCATAACGCAACTAGTTAGATGACCTACAATGAGGCAAATACGAACTCTGTATGTAATCAGTTAGTGATAATAAATTTTAAAACTAATCATAAGGTTGGGGGTGTAGCTCAGTGGTAAATGAATACAAGACCCTGGGTTCAATCCCAAGTACCAAACAAACAAAGCAAATCATAAAATACTTTAAACTCAGATTACCTTTATTCATTTAGGTAATATTCTCTGTCAAATGGAATAAAGACTAAAGTAAAATAATAATCTTTTCATATAGGATCACATTATTACGATTCAGAGGCAGGATGCTGGTATCTCAAAAGTCCTAAAATGACTGAAAAGTATAATGCTCTTTGGTCTCCTCTAAGAATTCTGGCAAACAAAACAAAACAAAACAGGAAGTTCTTGGAAATTTACCAGGTTACACTTGATTAACAGTTAGGATCTGTGACCTAACAAGAATAATTTAGAGAAGGAAAAACTTACTTTAGCTCATAGTTTCAAAGGTCTCAGTTCATGGTCCGCTAAGTCCATCACTTTGGATCTGAGATGAGGCATAATATCCTAGCCGAAGGACCCAGTGGAGGAAAGCTGGTCAGCTCATGGCAGTCAGGAAGCAGAGAGAAGGAAAGATGCTAGGGAAAAAATATAAACCCCAAAGGTACATCCCCAGTAACCTACTTCCTGTAGCCACACTCTACCTGCCTACACAATACAGTAGTCCTTTCCAACTATTAATCCATCAAATGATATAACCCACTGATTAGGTTATAACTTTCATAATCTGTTCATTTCACCTCTGAACATTCCTACATTAATAGGAGCTTGGCAGGGGAGGCATCTCATATACAAAGCATAACAGGAGCTAAAAATCTGATGCAACCACAGAGGTTTTATTTGCTATATGAATTAAAAAACAAAACAGAAATGTGGGAAGAGAATAAAACAGGATACAGATGATACATAACATGGAAAAAAGAGAATATATAATAGAACAGTTATTCCTGATTTTGTTACTACATATTTACCTCTTTGTGCCACTTAAGAATTTTTCAAATGTGGTACAATTTAATACATAACAGTATACATAAAACACAGTCTTATATTAAGATTATTAACTCTCTGGGCAGGGGATGTGGCTCAAGCGGTAGCGCGCTCGCCTGGCATGCGTGCGGCCCGGGTTCGATCCTCAGCACCACATACCAACAAAGATGTTGTGTCTGCCAAGAAATAAAAAATAAATATGAAAAATTCTCTCTCTCTCTCTCCCTCCCTCCTCTCTCACTCTCTCTTTAAAAAAAAAAAAGATTATTAACTCTCAAAGCTCAGTTTTATTTGCAGCTTATGAATATAGGATGGCATCTCATTTTTTTAGATTACCCACAAGGTCCTTTAGGTACCTTCTTATTGCTACCATACTTAGGCCTGAATGTCTGATTGATGAGATATTTCAAGAAGTTGGAACTTTTAGAAGGGGTTGTCCATAAGATTGTGAGGCTATGGAACTAGATAAGCATTACTTCCAGTACTATTAACTCAATTAATAATACATTTTGAATCGTATCATTTTCTGGAGATGTGGAAAGAGAATAGGAGCTGAACTCCCTTAAAATTAGCATCAAAGAGAACTGATGTCTGTAGAGAAGCGCCTAAATCCATTGGTTACTTATTCACAGTCATCTTTGGGAATCTGTGGGGTGTTTCTTATTAGCGAAAGGGGAGGATGGCCATGAATGTTTTAATTTTTTAAAACAAAGCACTACCTATTTATAGTGGAAATTTTGAGGAAAATAGAGAAGGTAAATAAATCACTTAATTTTTAGAAACAGATATGCCTCCTTTTCTATCCCTAGATGCATTACTATATAAATTTTTTATTAGCATATGTTTTGTGATCTTTTTCATTTACTATCTGGCTAATACTTCACCATGTCAATAAGTACCCTATATACTTTAGAATGACTACATAGACTGTGTTCCATCTTTAAGATATTCTATGATTTATAATCTACAGTAGGGCTGTTAAGTTGTTTTAAGTATTTTCTATTAATATGGCATTGAACGTCTATAGATAAGACTTTCCATACAATCTTGTTTGTTTCCTTAAGAGAGATTATTAGAAAGAGATGTGGGTCAGACAGTATATATATTTTTAAAGTCTGTTGATATATTTAGATAAAATTCTTATCCAGCAATGCTGTATTAAGATAATAACTATTTATATTAGGATCAAATTCTTCATCATTCTGACTTCTCTGTAGTCCGTCAGTAGAATGAAACCCAACTGTAAAAAGAGAGACAGAAGGTTACTTATAATTGAAAAATACATAGTATCTTTTCAGCTGGGGAACTTCAAGACTACAAATTACCCCTAATGTTCTAATTAGGTAAATACAAATTTTTCTTTTATTAAAGGTTGTTAAAATGAGACAGTCTCATATACCCTACGTGAAATTTATTAATCATGTGGTTTATATATTTACATCAAAATGAAATTATGTAATTGAATATTGAATTTTTTACATTGAAATTCTTTCCTTTTTTTATTTTAGACACATAAAGAAGACCCCTATCGATCATTTCTCAACAATTATATAGTCAACTAATGTAACAATGGTACTAATATTGGGACGCAGACTAAACAGAGAGGATCTTGGGGTACGTGATTCCCCAGCAACTAAGCGTAAAGTTTTTGAAATGGACCCTAAATCTCTGACAGGTCATGAGTTTTTTGACTTCTCTTCAGGATCATCCCATGCTGAAAACATACTCCAGATATTTAATGAGTTCCGAGACAGCCGCTTATTCACAGATGTTATCATCTGTGTGGAAGGAAAGGAGTTTCCTTGCCATAGAGCTGTTCTTTCAGCCTGTAGCAGCTACTTCAGAGCTATGTTTTGTAATGACCACAGGGAAAGCCGAGAAATGTTGGTTGAGATCAATGGTATTTTAGCTGAAGCCATGGAATGTTTTTTGCAGTATGTTTATACTGGAAAGGTGAAGATCACTACAGAGAATGTTCAATATCTCTTTGAAACCTCAAGCCTCTTTCAGATTAGTGTTCTCCGTGATGCATGTGCCAAGTTCTTGGAGGAGCAACTGGATCCTTGTAATTGCTTAGGAATTCAGCGCTTTGCTGACACCCATTCACTCAAAACACTCTTCACAAAATGTAAAACTTTTGCATTACAGACTTTTGAGGATGTGTCCCAGCATGAAGAATTTCTTGAGCTTGACAAAGATGAACTTATTGATTATATTTGTAGTGATGAACTTGTTATTGGTAAAGAGGAGATGGTTTTTGAAGCCGTCATGCGTTGGGTCTATCGTGCTGTTGATCTGAGAAGACCATTGTTACACGAGCTCCTGACACATGTGAGACTCCCTCTTTTGCATCCCAACTACTTTGTTCAAACAGTCGAGGTGGACCAATTGATCCAGAATTCTCCTGAGTGTTACCAGTTGTTGCATGAAGCAAGACGGTACCACATACTTGGGAATGAAATGATGTCCCCAAGGACTAGGCCACGCAGGTGAGAAGATTTACAAATATAGATAATAAAATTTTTTTAAATAGTTTTAAATCTCCTGAATCCAAACTCAGTGTAGTCACTTATTTGTATAGTTTACATGCAGTTTTTGTACTGTTTAATATTTATTTTGGATTATGTAAATAATGAAAAGGAAGACTAGTGAAGACTGCATTCAACAATGCATTTTTTAAAATATTTTTTTGTAGTTGTAGATGGACAGAATGCCTTTATTTTATTTGTTTATTTTTATATGGTGCTGAAGATCGAACCCATTGCCTCACACATGCTGGGCAAGCGCTCTGCCACTGAGCTACAGCCTCCGCACAACAATGCATTTTTTTTTATAATGTTGTCCTGAGCTATCAGAGAGTGTTAAAAGGGTCTTTGCCACTGTGCTTGTCTCAACATATTACTACTAATTTCTCTTAACCTTTGTAAGACCTCAAACCTTTCCACTTTTCTTTCCAAGGAGTTTTGAATACAGAGTAGCTAAATGGTAGGCTCCCTTAAGACAGAACAAATTATGTTCTGTGGGTGTATGAATTTGGCACAATGAGTCCACTGTTATATATAATCATAATGTACCCGTAAAAATAAATTGAAGAAACAATAAGCTTGCTTACTTAGACTGCCTCTACTTATTAAAAACAATTTGCACATCCACAGACTGACCTTTGTCCTCCAAGACTGAACATGGAATTTAGAGGTAAAGTAAGTAAACTGGTATGCAAAGTGAATTCACAGATGTAAAACTCAGATCTCCAACCTTTTATAAATGCCATATATATTTAATGTCAGTCTCAATTTTTAATCTTTTTTCTGATATGAAATTATATCATCCTTTAGAACTTGTGCAGTTTATTAGCATTGCACTGTATTTGTGTCTTCTTAGAAAAGGTTATTTCTGTAAAACACCTTTTGATTTTGATTGACAAAATATAGAAAAAATTAATTTTCATGCCTTATTAATAGAAAAAAATACTGTTAAACTTTGTTATTAATAAGCAGAAAATACCTATTTTGAGAAGCATTCCAGAAGAGAAGTTTTTTAATATTTTTCTGACAAAGCTAACATTGCTGTTCAGGTTTTTTAATTGTAGTTAAAAAATAGCATAACAGTTATCATCTTACCTATTTTTAGTTGTACAGTTCAATATTATTAAGTATATGCACACTGTTGTGAAATTGGAATTTTTTCCAGCATCTCTTTTTTTTCTGTACATTTACTACAGCATATAAAACCACATTTTTAACTTTCATTTTAAGTGCCATTGTTACTCATTATGTCATGAAATATTCTATTTTTTTAAATCTAAGCTAGTTTGGATGTAGCAAGATTTAATCCATTTCCTCATATGTAAAGTATGGATAATAAATAGGGTTTACTTCACAGGATTTCAGATTGGAACTATTAAATTCAATAGTCCTTAGGCATCCAGCATATATGTAGAAAAGTCCCTAATTATAACTAGCTACTATTATGTATGCAGTATTATATGGATCAATACTTGAAAGTCTAAACTTTTTATAATTAGATACAATATTGGGTAACTATTATAATACAAAATTAGGACCAGGCGCAATGGCACACGCCTGTAATCCCAGCAGCTTGGGACCTTCCTGAGGCAGGAAGATCGCAAGTTCAAAGCCAGCCTCAGCAAAAATGAGGCGCTAAGCAACTCAGTGAGACACTATCTCTAAATAAAATACAAATAGGGCTGGGGATGTGGCTCAGTTGTCTAGTGCCTGAGTTCAATCCCTGGTAACCCCCACCAAAAAAATTAATATAGTATTTCCTTATACCAGGATGAGCAACTGAATTTACTTAAAAGTCTAGAACATTTTATTCAAGTCTTTAGCAAAGCATAGAAAGCATACAATTTTATCCTATAATTACATTGATGTTTTTAAAAATATTTTTACTTATAGATTTGCTCAATACCTTTATTCTGTTTATTTATTTATTTTTATGACGTGCTGAGGATTGAACTTGTTGTCTCACAAGTGATAGGCAAGAGCTCTACCACTGAGCTATAACCCCAGCCTAATTTTTTTTTTTGTAAGTTAATTTTTTTTAAAGGACCATTAAAACACTTGGACTGATCTTAGGAATGTGGAAAGACCAAGTTTCCTGAATGTACTCATAAAGAAAACTAAACAGCCTGGGGCTGTGTGATTATTAGCTCTTCTGGGACTTTTCTGAACACATAGTATCACTCTAAGGGTAAAATCACTTTTTCAAGCAGAATTCCCTTATAACAGACAGAATGTTCTGGGAGTCAAATGAGGTTGACTAGTACCCAGCCTGCATATTTTATAGTACTAGAGTAGGGACCAAGGGTAATCCGTTGTAAAATTCAAATAAGCCATTTATTGTATTATTTATAAAGATATAACCTGAATAGGATCAGATTGCTGAGTAGGTAGCTTATCATTCCTTTAAAGAGAAAATTTTCCTAATCCACTTAATTATTTGATTTCCAGAAATTTGTTTGGCATTTAATGTTTAAGGGAACCAATCCATTTTATACAGCAGAACACATCTATATGGAAGATTATAGCATCACCTTAGTTTAGGAAATGAATAAGAAAAAACAAGCTACAGTTATATTGAATTTGCAGGCCACTGTAAATGTAATAGCAGATATTTATTTTATGTGGGCATTACATGAGGAATGGGGATTGAACTCAAGGGCATTCGACCATTCAGCCACATCCCAAGCCCTATTTTGTATTGTATTTAGAGACAGGGTTTCACTGAGTTGCTTAGTGTCTCATTTTTGCTGAGGCTGACTTTGAACTGGCCATCCTCCTGTCTCAGCCTCCAGACCGCTGGGATTACAAGCATGCCCAACCCAGACCTTCTGCTTTTTTTTTAAAGATTTATTTTTTTAGGGCTGAGGATGTGGCTCGGGTGGCATGCACAGGGTGCTGGGTTCGATCCTCAACACCACATAGAAACAAAAAGTAGAGATATTATGTCCATCTAAAACTAAAGGATAAATATTTTTTTTAAAAAAATTATTTTTTTATTTGTAGTAGGACACAGTATCTTTATTTATTTATTTAAGTGGTGCTGAGGATTGAACCCAGGGCCTCACATGTTTTAGGCAAAGGCTCCCCGCTGAGCCACTACCCCAGTCCCAGATCTTCTACTTTTTATTTGCAGGCCTCTTTTCAGTCCCTCTCCAACTTGATCTCTCTTTAGGATTTGACATTGTTAATTGCCTTTTCTATTGGCTCTTTTCATGGGCTTCTGGAATATCATTTTTCTCATAGTCCTCCGGTTTTCTCCAGCTGCTCTTACTTTATATCTAGTCTTGGAAGTACTGATTATCTGCTTGTTCATCTCTCTCTTACCTTATTTACTTCCCTGTGTGATCTCATCTATTCTCATGATTTCAATTACCATACATGCTGTTGACAACCAAACCTGTTATCTCTAACCCAGACTTTTTTATTTGTTCATTCACATTTCTTTTGTTTGGATTTTAGATTTCTTTTATATGTTTTATTTATACACTTATTTTTAATTTTATTACTTGATTGTGTCTTTTAAAAAGATAGCATAGGCAAAATAGCAGGATTAAAATTAAACTTAACAGCTCATATTATCTCATGCCTAATCCATATTCAAATTTGAACTATTCTTTAATAAACTTGTATCCAATCCAGAATCACTCATTACATCTGGTTATTTCCAGGAAGTCTCTTTTATTCCAAAACAGTTTCTTTTTCATGATTCTGAATTGTTGGAAAAAAATTGTCCATAAAAATATTCCCCTTTCTGGATTAATGTGGTTACTTCTTAAGGTGTTTAATTCCTAGAAACTGAAATATGGTTCTACAAGCTTCAACTTGATGAATACTAATTAAATATTTATGTACATAAGTATTTATATTAAACCACATTAGGAGCACAGTATATGCTGTTGTCCCATCATGAATGATGCAAAGATTTAACTCTGTGTTAGGATGATGACAGTCTGCTCACTCCACCGTATAGTTAACTTGTACTCCCCAAATTGGCCAGTGGTTTTTTTTTTTAGTGTTTGTCCTATGCCAAGTATTCTTCAGAGCTCAAGCCATACTGGGTATTCTACCTATTTACTCATGTGTTTTCAGATGACAAGAGAAAATCCTAGAGTACATTGTTTAAAAAGCAGTGTGACAGTAGTTTCCTAGAAAGAGGCAAATCTAAGAAGAGCACAAAGCTTTGATTATCTGCCCTGCCAGTGGTAAATCCTTGTTTGCTTAGAGAGAAACTAATCACAGAAGGTAGTAAAACTTAGGAATAATTTCGATGTATTTCTTTTTTTTTTTCTTCTTTTTTTTTTTAGTTTTGATGGACACTGTACCTTTATTTTATTTATTTATTTTTCGTAGTACTGAAGATGGAACCCAGTGCCTCATACGTTTGAGGCAAGCTCTCTGCCACTGAGCCACCACCCCAGCCCCTAACTTGGTTGTATTTCTAATGATATATATTTTGCAACTGTAAATCTTTGTTTTGATATATTTTTCAGTGCTAGCATCATGATGTATTAAGAGTACAGGCTTCAGAATCAGACAGGCTTTAGAATCTCACTCTACACAACTAGTAAATTCCATGACCATGGGCAAGGCACTAAAGTTATACTGTACATTTACAGAGTAGGAATATGGTTTAAGAGAGAAATGTTTGCTATCAAATAGTTTCTTTTTTAAACAAAATTTAAAAATTTTTTAAACTTAGCATCCGTTCCAATAGTTTTTTCAAAGCTTACTTTATAATTGTTCTAATTTAAGAACAAATTTTGTTACATATACATACTACCTTCCCATCTATCATTTCTAATAATAATAGCAAATGTTTGTGTTCAGGAACTGTTACAGGACAATTACATATGTAAGGTAATGCTCAGAAAAGCCCTGAGAGAGAGTGCCATTATTATGCCCACTTTACTGATGCGCAAACTGAGTCTCAGAGAAGTAATTTGTTCAAGGTTACATAGTTTAGT